CAGGCACAGCAGTTCATCACAAAGCAGTGAGGGAGCCAAGTGACAGAGGGACTGATGTGGTGGTTCAAGAACTCCAGAGAGAAGAGCCCCATGCATCCTGGGGACAGCATGCATGTATCAAGGAAGGCTTTCTTGAAGAGCTGATATCTGAGCTGTGCCTTAAATAGTAAGTATAAAATAGTGCCTGGGTCAGGTAGGGAGAGCAGGCCATTGCAGGCAGAGGGGAAGGATGGGCAAAGTTTTGGAGAGATGAGCTATAGAACATCTTACGCAGATGTAGGATGTAGTTGGATTTTGCTGGAGTATACCGAACAAGGAGAAGAATGGTCCCCAGAGACTCTGAAGGCTTTCTGAATCAGGCTAATGAACTCGGAGCGTTCTCTGTAGGCAGTAGGGAGCAGTTCATTCAGCATCATTTCCTGAGTACCAGCACAGTGCTGTCTGGCGTGCAGGACATAAAGGTTAGCAAAGCAGGGCCAGACCTGCCCTCAGGGAGCTCAAGCCTTCGTGAGAGCCTTGTAAAGCTGGAGATTTATTTGACTGTTTTTTAGTGGTAAAAGTGAACAAAGCATGATGACTGAATGGGGCAGAAGTGGGAGGAGGGGAGGAGAGATATGGAGCGAGAGAGGAGGAGAGAGGGGGAGAGAGGGGGGACAGATGGTTCTTGGGTTTATACAGTGGATGAATGGCAGGTATGATACCTACTAGGATGGAGAAAAAAGAAGAAAAAATAAGCCAACTGCTGAAGAAATGTAATGCCAGCACTCAGGAGATAAAGGCAGGAGGATTGTTGTAATTTTGGGGCCAGCATGGTCTATGTAATGAGTTCCAGGCCTACCAGTACCCAGGACTACCTAGTGAGATACTGTCTCAAAATAAACAAAACAGAAGAATGAAGAGGAGGCTTTGTGGAAAAGTTTAACCTTGGATTTGTTGAATGAGATCAACATCTTTGCATGGAGATGGTTTATCAGGTGGTTGGTCATACAAGTCAAAAAATCAAGGAGGAAATCTATAGACACAAATTTGGAAGCATGCAGTTGATAATTCAGGCTGTGGCCATGAAAGGCGTTTTCTAAGGAAATATGAATGGTGGTAAGAGGACTCAAAATAGTTCAAGGTCTGAATGGAAAGATTCAGGAAAATAAGGTTGTTTGGAAGGTATGGTTTTTTGAGATGATGGTGGTACCTTAATAAACAATAATTCAAGTTAGTTCCTTCGGCATTTGCTTCAGCCTAACTTCAGCCGTGGATTGTTCTTTGCTCTTAAAAGAGCAGTCAGAGCAGAGTGAGCTACTGCCCTTGTCCTGCAAGAGTCTGTCATCAGGAGAGGTCGCTGCTGCTACCTACCACCAGATGCCAGCAAAACAGTCTCCAAGTAGAAAGCATCATGCACGGAACAATTCATGAGAACAAACCAAATTTTTATTTTGGTTCACTCTTAAGAAGTACAAGAAAAAAGGAAATGTTTAAGAGAAAAGGTGTGGGGGGGGGAACTTCTTCAAGTATTCTAAATTGCTGCCTTTCAAGACCCCAGAGCTAGAAAAACCATGAGAGGAATTACATGTCATATGTGATATTTATACAGGAACCGAGAGTTTCAGGTGGAGTGAAGCTTTTAGCTCCTTCCCCTATGGCAGCTGAAGTTCCATCCACTGTCAGTGCTTAGCCAGTTTAGACCCAGTAAGTAGCAAAGCCTTCTGTGACTTTTGTGTGTAGCCCTGTAAATGTCTCCTAGAACAGTGGTTCTCAAACTTTTAGAGTCATTGACTCCCTTAAGAATCTCTTGAACAGTTGTGGACATTCGGCGGTGGGAGGGGGGTATGCAAATATGTACATAAACACAGGAATTAGTAAGGCAGACCCCTGAAGTGTTCCACAGGATGCCACTGGACTTCAGGTTAGGGCCTTTGTCTCAGTGATTTCTAGTAGATGAGAATACAGCCATTGCTTATTCTGAAATTATATACATAGGAGGAAAGAAGCATCTTTGAGACTAATTTAGAACCATGACTAGGATTTGCTGTGCATCCAATGTACTGCACTGTTGGTTTTATTCTGTCAGCTTTACTTTCGAAGTGGCCCAGAGCAACTCACAACTTCACAGATTTATGTACCTAATCATATGCACATATTTTATCTTAAAGTAATGATACTGTTTGGTGTGACTTGTATAGTCACAGAAATACGTTATTATAACTGAAGTTCCCTGGTAGATGGGTTTGGGGGGAGTTTTCTCTGATTAGGGAGGGCTGTCTTACATATTTATATTGGAAGAGTTCATAAGCTCTATCTGATACTTGGACTTTAATCATGCTTAATGAACTGAAGTAAGCACAATTCCTGTTCTATTTTGGTAACCCTGCAGATTTCCTCTGATGCTTAGTTTCATGTGACTACACCGTTCTTGAAATGCTAATACACAATGCTAATTCAAGAAAGGACCAGAAAAGTTAGATTTCATTTCTGAGAGCTGCATTCAGTATTCACAGGCCTTCTGGTTGTGAGAAGAATACATTAGGTGGAAAATATGGGCTCCTACCTTTGGTGAACATAGAAATTTAAACATATAGGTTGCACAAAATTTGGATAAACTGAGGTTGAGTCCAACATTTCTTGCATGAACGCCTGTATAATGTGGCGATAGCTGAGAAAAGAGGAGCCCAGCTAAGACCCAACACAATGGAGATGCAGTGAATTGGAATGCCTCACAGATCATAGCGGAATCAGAATTTCCAGCAAGGAAAATCTTTTCATGGTGAATTAAGTGGTGGATGAAGAAAAATGGTGATGAAAAAGGTAGGCACAGATCACAAACACTGAGCCCGGGGCTCACCGCTGAAGATTTAAGAACCTTAGCTAAAGCTATGCAGAATAGAATGTGGAAAATTGAATTTACTAAACAATTAAGCATTGAATTAATCTACATCCTGCACAGTAGAAAAGTGGGGGAGGGAGCAGAGCAGAACTGAATAAATCAGTGGAGCTCATTAAAAGATAGTGAATATATCAGATCTGCTGTGGCGTAAAGAAGGACAGCTTCCTGTCTGACATGGAATAATTCTTTGGTTCTAAGTCACCTTTTTGGACTTCTACTCTTAATCAGATTAGCAAAAATGTTTCTGATGAGGTTAGTCTGTTGCTCTGTATTTTAGCTTGTGATTGCTAGCTTTTCTATTAATTACAAGTCGGATCACCAGTCGACAGTCGTAGTGAGGGACAACATAAATAAAATGAGAGTGCTCAGGAGACGTCACTCGAAGGATCTCATGCATCCTGAAACTCCCACGGGTTCCTGCAGCCTCCCACATGCCTTGCTGGTCTTTTGTTCAATTACAGTTAATGCAATAGTTTGCCATTTTCTCCTTCTAATTATATTTTCAAGTGGGATTTGTAGCACACAGAAAAACATCCTTTTACATGTCGAGGCACCGGGGTTTTGTGCCTGGCATTGTCTGTCCCCTGGGTGCTGTGCCATTCTTTCTGCAGAGCTCTGAATAAACAAGTCCCCCTTTTAGAGCTGCAGTTGTACAAACTGAAAATTTATGCATTAACTGTTTGCATTCTGAGCATGTGTTCCAGATTATGCCTTACAACATTCTTCTGGTATGCTTCAAAATGTGTGCTTGCAAAAAAGCACTTCCTGCACTGGTCACATATCTCTCAATCACAGAAGCAGCAGATCAATTAGCACTGTTTTTGAGAATATGCATAATGGCTGAGATAAACATACAAGTAATGTGGCCTGAGGCTTTATTCCATTTTGAGGGTGGCACTAGTCCTCAGGCCAAGGTCATAGCATAGGTGGGGTGAAATGTCCATTATAGACACCCGAGTCTCCCTTGGAATTTCAGTGCAGCAATTTTCATGGTCAGGACCTTTGCTTTCTTCTTTCCGGATGTCTGAACCATTCGATCTCCTCAGCCCTTCTGGGCTAGGTTTTTCTCTGGGAAGGATAAATAATTTTCAAGAAATAAGCAAAGAACACTTTGATTTTGCTAGGCATGCTCCAACTGTGCAAGGGTCAATAAACTTTACTACAGCATAGTCATGAACCACGACCTTCTGTGACTGAAATGATGTATACATATTTTACACACAAGATCATCTTGCTTTCCCACTAGTAATCCTGAAGACAAACATCCTTTCCTAGCCAAGAACCAGCTTTCTATCCTGCCTCATTCCTGCTGTGCAGGATGACCAGTGACTCACTAGGTTGTTCTGGAAAGCTAGCACTAAAAGCTAATTCAAGTCTTTTCTGGTGATAGAAATTTGGGAGAAGTATCACCATGATTGTTTTCCATAAGAATTGAATTTACAGCCAATCTGAATGTTACTTTCAAATGCACCCAGTGATAAGAAGCAACATCTGTTTTCTGTTCAATAGTACAAGAAGGCTCGGCATGGGGCTGAGTGTGCACAGTCCATGTGAATCTTTTGTTGTTATCTTTTCTTTTTTGTCCTTGTTCCTGGCCCATTTGCCATGTCCCATCAGGAAAACAGCTGACACACACTAGCTATTGTGGACCCTGGCTGGATTGTGAGATCTTGAAAGCTCTACCAGGTCTTGCAGGATGAAGCAGAGGCCTCTCTGGTAAAGCAGTGTGGGAGACCACCACTCCCATCTGCATTTCCAGAATAGCAGAATGTTGGGATAGAGGGCTAAAAGTATAGTTAAAATCAAGTGGCACCCCATCCCCTACTCTTTGTCTGAATGGTTTTTGCTTTCCTTGTTAATAAAGTATATAATTACTTACGGACTATTTGTATATATTATTTTAATTTGGAAGCTGAATTTGGTAGATTTTGAATATACCTATGCAGCTCTAAGCCAGAGCCAGTTTTGAAGATGGGCAAGAACCATGGCATGTTGTCCTCTGTAGAGGGGCGGGAACCATGGCATGTTGTCCTCTCTAGCCCTCCACCACTTTGTCACTGTCTGACAGGATCCCACCCTTAACAGACGACTCTTACTCGGACTTCTGATTTGTGCCCCACAGCCGTCTTGGAGTAGAGATCATGATGACACGGCATCCACGCGCTCAGGAGGAACCCCAGGCCCTTCCAGCGGCGGCCACACTTCACACAGTGGGGATAACAGCAGTGAGCAAGGTAGGAGAGGCATTCTCGTTCTCCATTGCTACTTGTTTCGTGTCCAAAGGTTGAAAACTGTCAGAAATGTCAGTCAGCTGCTACCTCTACAGCTTTTCTTAGAGCACAAATCCCATATCATGTGAGAATCTTGTTCAATCCCGGCCCCTATTCCCCTGTACCATTGCAGCTGCCTGTCTGCTGACCACCTCCATGAATTGACTGAGGTGAGGTTAGAGAAGCAGAGGAGAAGTTCAGGTGTGCATAGACAGCTTGGCACTACTGCCCTTCTAGAATGTTCTGCAGGGCTATTCAGAAGGCTATTCATGGACATGCATGCTGACAATAGTAAGAAATAAAGCTTTTACATCAGCAAAAAGGTAAATGAATATCCTCCGTGCTGCTTCAGAGGAGGACCCTGTTCCCATGGATTTTGCATATAATTAGTGAAATTTAAGTTCTAAAAATTAAAGTTTTCAACTGACTATGAAAGACTGCATTACCTAAGAACTCTGAGCCCACAGTAGGTACAACATTAAAATTCAATTTTTGTGATCATGGTTCAGTTAATGGCAGCAAAGGCATTTTTTTTTTGTCTAATTTAGTTGGGGTACACCAATTAAAACAGTAAAGTCTGTTATGAATTTAGCATGATTAATTGGAAAACAGGAGCAGGAAAGGTCATTTTTAGATGTATGTGTGGTATTTGCCCAGGAAATAACTTCTGCAAACATAATTTTAGGCATTGGAGACATTTTATTGTTCAAAGAAATGTTGCTGACTTCATCAGAAGGGTTAGCCTGGTAAAAGTGGAGCTGGGGTAGTAACCCAGTCCAGAACTGAGCAGAAGCAGGCAGCCTCTGACCTCTGACTTTTTCTGGAAAATGATATGCAGCATAAATCCAAGAGGCCTTTTTCCTTTCACGTGTGTGTATGTGTTATGGCATTGCTGTTGAGAGCGGTAAGGTGGTGTCAGCACTTTCGATAGAAAAGTGACTTGCGGAGTGCTACTTACATTGAGTTTTCAGAGGTGTAAATGGAATCTGAATTTTTTTTCCCATAGCCCAGAACTGCTGCTACAAAGGGTCACAGCCTAATATTTTGTTGGTTTCATTCTTGTTTTCATTTCTTGATTTATAAAATATATATCATTGGAGAATCATTAGGCCCCTTAGCTGAGGAATTAAGGCCTGCAGACTGAGGGAATGTTCTAGAATGTGCAAGTTCTCTCAAACATAAGCTGCTAAGAGGATGTTCAGAGGGCAAAGACCCATTGCCAGCTCCTCACCTCTGATGAGCCGTGACCAGAAATTAGAAATTTCGTATGTTTCTTTTCCCTTGACAAGCACTCTCCCAAGGCCCAGTTAATGCCGGGTCATCCCTGGGCTCCGCACACTCTTCCCATAACTACCTTTCCACTTTCACGGGGCCCATCTGTGCTTTTCATATTTCCTTCTACCCTCTAGGTGTTTTACAAAGCATCTTCATATAAAGTATCTCACTTTAAATGATCTTGTTCGAACCATTTTAAAACAGTTTTGGGGTTGGGGAAATGGTTCAGCAGTTAAGAACCCTTGCAGCTCTTACAGAGGACCCAGGTCCAGTTTCCAGCAGCCATATGGTGGCTCACATCTGTCTGTAACTCCAGTTCCAAGGGATGGGACACCCTCTTCTGACTTCTGCAGGCACTGCACTCACATGGTACACATACAGACATGCAGGTACACACAAATATGCATAAATAAAAATACACCCAGTGAAATAATCCTGGTGGTAGTTAAAGCAGATGTATAAGAAAGATAAGTTCTGTGATGTGCCGAGGTCCACCATCCAGTTTCTTGCTTATGTGCGTAAAATTATTTTCATCTTGCCCTCGTCCTCAGTTTTCTGCTAAAGAACCAATGTCAGTTACTTCCACTGTGAGTAAACAGGAGCCTTGCGTGATGACCCTTCCGACATTAGCTCCATAAAGTGAGATGGTAGGCTCATTGTTAGTCTTCCTTGCTTTTCTGGTGGGTTTTCTTTGGCAGGGAGGTTTATGCAGGATAATGCCTACAAGTGTTTCTGAAACAACTTGTGTACATTTTCATGCTGACTCGAAGCCTTCCAAACCTGTTTACTCATCCCTGAGACCTGTGGAGCTGGGCCTTTGTGCAGCCTTTGGATTAACTGTGCACAGTGACTTTTCCACACCTTCCCTGTGCGCCTTTTCTGGCAGCATTTGTCCTACAGTACATGTCTTAAATAAGTATTTCCACAGTTTGAGTCCATTTTAGTCAACTGGGCAAATAACAGCCCTCTTCAAAAGATTTATAAATCCATAAATATTTCTTTGTACATACCCAATAGACAGAAATAACTCAGCCTGTCATATACCCAAAAAGGTGTTTCCCGTGCCCCTAGACAAGAGAAGACACATTTTAAAAGTCGCTCTACTGCATTATTTGCCCTGAATTTTTTTTTCAGGTTTTACTGCTTCATTATAGCACCTGTGGCAATAAATAAGTAAACAAACAAACAAACAAACAAATAAATAAATAAGATCTCTAGCCTTTGAGTCTCTGTTAAATAACCTGTCCTCTAGACAGCTGTAGGCATATAGCCAGATAGCTACATCTCAACTGAGTCCTATTTTTTTTTCTTTTTTACTTTTGAAGAAACTAAAATACATCACCCAGGAAACTTTTAATGTTCTGATAAATTTCAAAAGGCAATGATAATTCTTTAAGTGCTAACAATGTTGATAATTTTGATTA